AGACTTACTATTATGCAGACTACTGCAATGCTGTAATAACTGTATAAATAACATCAACCCATTCATGACTGCATATTAGAATGGCTAGTTGGACATTTATTGGACAATGGCATCATTTGTTTACTTTTGAACATTGCCAAAATCAAACATTTCCCCTACTTTGAGCCCCATTTCTAGGTTCTTTTATAGTAAAATCAATCAAAAACACCTCTATTTCTGTAATATGTTTTCCATTCTATCAAATGAGACCAAGAAAACGAGAATACAACCATAAATACTATACGAAAATAGACCACAAAGTCGGCATTTTAATTAAGAAAAACGGTCGGAGTTTTTTTTTTCTCATTATGCACTGCGTGCTCCAGGATTTTTTTTTATATGGTGCACACTGACCACACAGACCCATTCTCTCACATGTGGGCCTACCAGCTTTCTCCTGCTTGATTTGAAGCCGCTAGAATTTATGAGTATATATACGTCAAACACGGCACCTCGTAAAACGTATATATACGGCCGCTACAGTCAAAGGGTTAACATTATTGAAAAAAATATATCTTTAAACGTATAAGAGAAAATTTTAGAAAGGACTTAATTTTAAATGAGTTCTTGCTGATTGACCAGTTTTACATATTCGGCACGACACATATATATATAATATATATATATATATATATATATATAATATATATATATATATATAATATATATATATATATATATATATATATATAATACAGTGGACCCCGCATAACGATTACCTCCGAATGTGACCATTTAATGTAAGTGTATTTATGTAAGTGTGTTTGTACGTGTATGTTTGGGGGTCTGAAATGGACTAATCTACTTCAACAATATTCCTTATGGGAATAAATTCGTCAGTACTGGCACCTGAACATACTTATGGAGTGAAAAAATATCGTTAACCGGGGTCCACTGTATATAGATATATATTATATATATATATATATATATTAATAATATATATATATATATATATATATATTTATATATATAAATATATATATATATATATATATATATATAAAATATATATATAAATATATATATAATATATATATATATATATATAATATATATATACCACCGACTTACGACCTGCTCGACTTACGACCACTCGACTTACGACCGTATTTTTTATGCCAAATTTCTGGGAAATAAACAATTATTTGTGTTGTACACAGTGTTTATCCTAAACCTTACAGTATAAAATACAGTACTAACAACATAAAAAGTAAAGTAAAACATGAAATACCAAAATAAAACAATAAAATAAAGTCATTACAAAAATGTTTTGTTGATATTCAGTAGTAAAGTTCAACTTACAACCATTTCGACTTACGACCGGTTTCTCGGAACTGAACTCAGTAGTAAGTCGGATGGTAGGTGTATATATATACATATATATCCTAGGTAGTAGGTTGGTAAAGAGCAACTGCCCAGGGAAGAACTACCGTCCTGCCAAGTGAGTGTACAACGAAAACCTGTAATTGTTTTACATGATGGTAGGATTGCTGGTGTCCTTTTTTCTGTCTCATAAACATGCAAGATTTCAGGTATGTCTTGCTACTTCTACTTACACTTAGGTCACACTACACATACATATACAAGCATATACAGTGGACCCCCGGTTTACGATCAGCTCCCAATGCGACCAATTATGTAAGTGTATTTATGTAAGTGCTTTTTATGTGTATGTTTGGGGGTCTGAAATGGACTAATCTAATTCACAATATTCCTTATGGGAACAAATTCGGTCAGTACTGGCACCTGAACATACTTCTGGAATGAAATAATATCGTAAACTGGGGGGTTGAAGAGGGTTGGATGAGTTTTAAAAATGCAGTATTAAAATGTGGAGCAGAAGTTTGTGGTTATAGGAGTGTTGGAGCAGGAGGAAAGAGGAGTGATTGGTGGAATGATGAAGTAAAGGGTGTTATAAAAGAGAAAAGTTACCTTATGAGACGTTTTTACAAAGCAGAAGTGTTATAAGAAGAGCAGAGTATATGGAAAGTAAAAGAAAGGTGAAGAGAGTGGTGAGAGAGTGCAAAAGCAGAGCAGATGACAGAGTGGGAGAGGCACTGTCAAGAAATTTTAATGAAAATAAGAAAAAAAATTGGAGTTAAACAAGTTAAGAAAGCCTAGGGAACATATGGATTTGTCAGTTAAAAACAGAATAGGGGAGTTAGTAGATGGGGAGAGGGAGGTATTAGGTAGATGGTGAGAATATTTTGAGGAATTTTTAAATTTTGAGGAAGAAAGGGAGGCAGTAATTTCATGCACTGGCCAGGGAGGTATACCATCTTTTAGGAGTGAAGAAGAGCAGAATGTAAGTGTGGGGGAGGTACGTGAGGCATTATGTAGGATGAAAGGGGATAAAGCAGCTGGAACTTATGGGATCATGACAGAAATGTTAAAAGCAGGGGGGGATATAGTGTTGGAGTGGTTGGTACTTTTGTTTAATGAATGTATGAAAGAGGGGAAGGTACCTAGGGATTGGCGGAGAGCATGTATAGTCCCTTTATATAAAGGAAAGGGGGACAAAAGAGATTGTAAAAATTATAGAGGAATAAGTTTACTGAGTATACCAGGAAAAGTGTATGGTAGGGTCATAATTGAAAGAATTAGAGGTAAGACAGAATGTAGGATTGTGGATGAGCAAGGAGGTTTCAGAGTGGGTAGGGGATGTGTAGATCAAGTGTTTACATTGAAGCATATATGTGAACAGTATTTAGATAAAGGTAGGGAAGTTTTTATTGCATCTATGGATTTAGAAAAGGCATCTGATAGAGTGGATAGGGGAGCAATGTGGCAGATGTTGCAAGTATATGGAATAGATGCTAAGTTACTAAATGCTGTAAAGAGTTTTTATGAGGATAGTGAGGCTCAGGTTAGGGTGTGTAGAAGAGAGGGAGACTACTTCCCAGTAAAAGTAGGTCTTAGACAAGGATGTGTAATGTCACCATGGTTGTTTAATATATTTATAGATGGGGTTGCAAAAGAAGTAAATGCTAGGGTGTTCGGGAGAGGGGTGGGATTAAATTACGGGGAATCAAATACAAAATGGGAATTGACACAGTTACTTTTTGCTGATGATACTGTGCTTATAGGAGATTCGAAAGAAAAATTTCAAAGGTTAGTGGATGAGTTTGGGAGTGTGTGTAAAAGTAGAAAGTTGAAAGTGAACATAGAAAAGAGTAAGGTGATGAGGGTATCAAATGATTTAGATAAAGAAAAATTGGATATCAAATTGAGGAGGAGGAGTATGGATGAAGTGAATGTTTTCAGATACTTGGGAGTTGATGTGTCGGCGGATGGATTTATGAAGGATGAGGTTAATCATAGAATTGATGAGGGGAAAAAAGGCGAGTGGTGCGTTGAGGTATATGTGGAGTCATAAAACGTTATCTATGGAGGCAAAGATGGGAATGTATGAAAGTATAGTAGTACCAACACTCTTATACGGGTGTGAAGCTTGGGTTGTGAATGCAGCAGTGAGGAGGCGGTTGGAGGCAGTGGAGATGTCCTGTCTAAGGGCAATATGTGGTGTAAATATTATGCAGAAAATTCAGAGTGTGGAAATTAGGAGAAGGTGTGGAGTTAATAAAAGTATTAATCAGAGGGCTGAAGAGTGGCTGTTGAGGTGGTTTGGTCATTTAGAGAGAATGGATCAAAGTAGAATGACATAGAGAGCATTTAAATCTTTAGGAGAAGGAAGGCGGGGTAGGGGTCGTCCTCGAAAAGGTTGGAAGGAAGGGGTAAGGGAGGTTTTGTGGGCGAGAGGCTTGGACTTCCAGCAGGCATGCATGAGCGTGTTTCGATAGGAGTGAATGGAGACAAATGGTATTTGGGACCTGAAGATCTGTTGGAGTGTGAGCAGGGTAATATTTAGTGAAGGGATTCAGGGAAACCAGTTATTTTTATATAACCAGACTTGAGTCCTGGAAATGGGAAGTACAATGCCTGCACTCTAAAGGAGGGGTTTGGGATATTAGCAGTTTGGAGGATATGTTGTGTATCTTTATACGTATATGTTTCTAAACTGTTGTGTTGTGAGCACCTCTGCAAAAACAGTGATTATGTGTAAGTGAGGTGAAAGTGTTGAATGATGATGAAAGTATTTTCTTTTTGGGGATTTTCTTTCTTTTTCTGGGTCACCCTGCCTCGGTGGGAGACGGCCGACTTGTTAAAAAAAATAAAAATATATATAAAATATATATATATATATATATATATATATATATATAATATATATATATATATATATATATAAATATATATATATATATATATATATATAAAATATATATAAATATATATAATATATATATATAATATATATATATATATATATATATATATATATATATATATAATATATATATATATATATATATATATATATATATATATATTGTTATATATACTGTGGTAATACGAGACAATCTTACAGCTGCTAGCAGCTGTATTCAACAACTGTTACCAAATATGTGTAGCTATCACAGTTCAAATAATCCTCCAAAAGCATATCCCGACCCAACCTTCACAGTGCACACACTGTACTTCCCACCTCCCGAACCACAACATTCCCATGCATCCTTCGCAGTGCACACACTGTACTTCCTACCTCCAGAACTGCAACAAGGTAAGCAAGGTACATACCACCTACAGATCAGCAACATTTTCATCCATCCTTCAGAATGTAGGCATTGTAATTCGCACATCCAAAATTACAATATCTCTATTCATCCTTAAGAGTACAGGCACTGTACTTTCTGCCTCCAGAACTGTAACATCACCCTTTCTTCAGAATGCAGGCACTGTACTTTCTGCCTCCAGAACTGTAACATCACCCTTCCTTCATAATACAGGCACTGTACTTTCTGCCTCCAGAACTGTAACATCACCCTTCCTTCATAATACAGGCATTGTACTTTTTCCCTGCCCCCCCCAGGGAACTGTAATGTAACATCACCCTTCCTTCATAATACAGGCACTGTACTTTCTGCCTCCAGAACTGTAACATCACCCTTCCTTCATAATACAGACACTGTACTTTCTGCCTCCAGAACTGTAACATCACCCTTCCTTCATAATACAGGCACTGTACTTTCTGCCTCAAGAACTGTAACATCACCCTTCCTTCAGAATGCAGGCACTGCACTTCACACCTGAAGCACTCTTAAACCCTTTTTTTGTTGTTGTTACACATTACACTCAAATATTAGTTGTTTAGATGTTTGATAATGTTTTGAATGTTGAATAACTGGACACTGAGTAATTGATGATATAGTTTATATTAGAGCATTTTACACTAGTTTCTACTCTTTCAACAAAGAACAAGACTCACCAATATCACTGGTAAGTAAATGCAGTTCTTCAGTGCACCGTCCACCATGGGCATGGTAGGGATAGAGTTGCTTGCGGGTGATGGTAGTGCGCACTTCAAGCTCCAAGTTATGGTCAGGCACAGTCAGTGCTGCCATGCTTAATATGCTAGGAGAAGTGTCCACATTTGAGGCTACCATATCTTCTTGTATCTGAGGTCTCATCTTACCACCACCATCACTGAAAATGATTGGAAAATTTTTGAATCAAACAAAATAGAAATTATGTACATATGCATGTATGTATGTATAGTACAGCCCCACTTATACAGCAGGTTAGATTCCAGGCTACTGCTGGAAAGCGGACTTCGCCGGAAAGCAGAACACCATTTGTTTCCACTTATAAATGTCAGATAATAAGTTTACATTAACATATATTAAGTTAGAAATAGAACAAGGCATTAAAAAACAATAAAAAGTAAAATACACACACAGTACACTCATTACTTACCTCAAAATATTTGTAGTCTTAATGAAGGGTGAAAAGTGAGTAATGTTTATTGCAAGAAGTTAGGTGTGGTAGGTATGGTAGCCAGCCAGACCACCCCACCCCACCCACACATAATATACATCAACATTTAAAGAGTCCCAGAGCGATAAAATGCATATTTGTAGTCTTAATAGTCTTATTACAGAGTGCAAGGTGAATAGTAGGGTAGGTAGGTATTGAATAGTGTGGTAGATATCGTAACCCCATTTGGCCACCCCACCCACACATTATATACTAGGCATTTGAAGCACCATGGAGTGATAAAATTCATATACAGGTCTCCCTCAACATTCACATTTTCCACTTTCATGAGCTTCGAACATTTGCGAATTCCCAGCAGCCCACTCATATTTGAAATATGTCATTACATATGTTAGGAATTGTGGCAGTGGCAGAGTTTCTTTGGAGATAAAACAAGATAGTCCTTTAATATGACACTAATATCTACTCTATAGCTTATTTATCTATCACAATTCATCTAATATGACATAATAAAAAATATTAATAACATAGAAACATGAACATATACCATGAATGAATAAAAATACGTCATAAAAATATAACCGTTCAGTGTTCAAGGCCCAAATCTGGAGTCACGCACCAGTGTCCAAGAATTTTCAAAAAAAAAATTTGTTAATTTTTTCTTATGAAAATCGTAGAGTAATCTTTTTGTAGAGTTAAAACAACAAAAAGTAGACGAAATTTGGTGAAAATTGTACGAAATTATCTCTCGCGAATTTTTGATGTGTCAGCGATATTTACGAATCGGGCGATTTTTGCCGACTTTGAGACTCACCATTTTAGTCCCAATTACATTATTCCAAACAACCCAAATCTTAGGCATTTCACATAGTATTACTTCATTCTATCGATTGACCAAGAAATCGCCAAAGATCAACTGTTTCAACTACAAATAAATGATCGGAAATGATAATTTGGCCAATTTAACACAAAATTTCAAAATATTCCAATTTCAAAATAGGTCCAGAAATGAACAATGTAGCATTCCCCCTGTCCTAAAACTAACATTACCTCTGTTCATTAGTTATGTTTTTTGTGGCTTTAACAAATAAAATTCCTTTTGATTTTTTGATTCACAAAATGAATATTTTTAATTCACACCAAAAATAGAAGATATACTTCTTATGCAATACAGTAATAAAAGTATAAATAATCATCACCATATTAGTTAATGTATATTAGACCCACCAGCTGACGTGGTATTAGATGAGTGAGTTCGTTTGTTTACCTCTTGAATATCGGCAAAAAATTAACATTTCCGCTACTTTGAGCTCAGTTTTTACAAGCCAATTCCAATGCTACAACCAATCAAATCATCTCTATTCTGTAAATGTCCTTCCCTTCTATCAAATGAGACAAGAAATCGCAAAACAATATAAAAACACATACGAAAAAACCGCTGCAAAGTTGCTTGTTTAAATCGAAAAATCATGATTTCATTTTTTTTCTCTCTATTATAGCCACAGTGTGCAGCAGATACTGTGTTATTGGTGCACACATACCACATAGATTATTCTCCTCATATCTAGCCCAAATGTACCACTCACAGTATATCAGAGTGAGCTGAGCATCATGAGTAGATTCTAACGGCATGGACCCTGAACGAAAAGCCTTAGATCTACGGGACGGGACCCTGAAAGGTTTAAGTATGTAAGGAGTGTTGTTTAAGTTTGTGTTGGGTGTCGAGGCAGTAGACACCCTAAATAACTCCAACCACACTTGGCGGAGTTAGGTTCGTGGCTGTCCTTTTTTCTATGATTAATCGCATAACTTATTTGCTACACGTTAATGCTACACTTTATCGCTGGCTGCCGCTATAGCCTTTATCAACTCGTGCTGCTTTAGTATCGTACATATCGCAGAATCACTGAAAGAGGCATATCTCTCGCTTCCTCCTCCACTTTGGTACTCTGCTATGAGCTCTTTCTTGAATTCTATAGTTTTTCTCACCTTCTTTACCAAAAGGTTCGGCAGTAGTAACAATATTTTACGATGTTTTCATGTGTTTTATGATTGTTCATGGTTCAATAGGTTAAGGAAGCATTACTGTATTATACTATTTCGCTACAATATATTGGGGAACCAAACATTTGCATTTTTCCAACATTTGCAAGGTTCTTGATCCCCTAACCCTTGCGAATGTTGAGGGAGACCTGTACCGTACACTCATTACTTACCTTAAATATTGTTGTCCCCTAATGTAGTTCGAGGGGAGAATAAACGTAGAAGAGAGAGAGAGAAGAGAGAGAGAGAGAGAGAGAGAGAGATAGAGAGAAAAGAGAGAGAGAGGAGAGAGAGATGAGATAGAGAGATGAGAGAGAAGCGAGAGAGAAAGAAGTAGAGAGAGAGAGAGAGATAAGAAGAGAGAGAGAGAGGAGAAGAAGAGAGAGAGAGAGAGAGAGAGAGAGAGAGAGAATAGAAGAGAGAGAGAGATAGAGAGAGAGAGAGAGAGAGAGGAGAGAGAAGAGAGACGGCTGTGGGCCCAGACAAGCTGAGCCCAAGATTGTTTAGAAGAAGTGCAAGACCAGCTAGCAGCACCCTAAACCGCATCTTTCAGCACTTATCCTAGTACAGTGTAAATGACCCTCTCTAAAGGAAAAGTGTGCAAATGTAATCTGTATCTCAAAAAGAAGAGCAGAACAGAATAACAACTACAGACCAGTGTCACTCCTGTCAATCACGGCAAGATCCTTGATTACTAATCTCAAGACAAAAAGACCAGCTTTTTAACTACCACTCACTACTTTGTGATCATCAGTAATGCTTCATGAAAGGTTACTCTGCTGCTGAACTGTTGTTAAACCCTCCCACTAAGTGGCAACCAGTCCACTGGATGAATCCAAAGTCCAGCTGTGTGTAGCCCGGTCATTGCTGCGCTTTCACCGGGTTGTGGCACCAGGGCCTCTTTAGCAAAACTTCAAGCATCTGGAATTGCAAGTCTTACGCTATAGTCCCTCCTCAGTGATTACCCATCATGTAGATCTCTCAGTGTAGTCCTCATGGAACAGAATTCAGCACGGCATCCTAACAGGGGCACGTGTCCCCACAAGGAAGCGTGCTGGTCCATTGTTATGGAATGTCTTACTTCAATTCAAACTACCTTCTTCACTCATCCCGAATCAATGCATATGCAGACGACTGTATCAGCTGACATTCACTTATTTCCAAGAGAAGTAATGCCAGCTGCTCTAAGCTACATCAATCACCAGCTGAGAGCTATATCACTTGGGAAATAGATGGCAAGTAACATTTGCACCTGAGAAAACGCAAATGATGAATTGTCTCTTAGGCACCAATGATGGTAACTGCTGGTGGCAGTATAAGGATGAATGGGAGGATGTTGCACTGGAAAGAAGTTGATATCCTTGGGTGAAATTTTGACTCCACACTAACCATTGGAAGAACCATGTTTGTAAATCTTGCAAACAAGGCAGCCAGGACGCTTTACAGCAACTTCGCCGATCTCGCATCTGCTGACAGTAGGGGTTGCAAGATCCTGTACAAGGCACAAGTAAGCTCACACCTTGAGTATGCTCCACTTTCTTGGTTTGCCTGCCCCCCCCTCTCATCTGCTACTGCTTGACAGAGTAGAGAACAGAGCAAGACATCTCATCTCGTCGCCTGACCCATCCTGGATAGATCGTTCATTTCAGCAGAGCCATTCAACATAGAGGACGTGGTGGCCTTTACTGTTATGTACTTGGCCAATATTGTCAAAATTACCACACTAGGATCCACTTTGAGACAGGCGTGAAACAACCTTTATACCACAAGACGGGCAGAAAAGCAGCAAGTCAACTCTGGCTGTACCCTTCCCAGAACATCCTCCATCTGAGATCATACATCCCAAGGATGACTTCGAGTATGGAAACACATTCGTACAGCATAATGATGTCCAACGGATAAAGTCAGTTGATCAAATAAAAAAGCAGGCCCACAGATGGCTCCAAATACATCCTGTTCCCTACATGTATGTCCTCATAAACAATACAAAAATGCATTCAAATGAGCTGATGTAGGTAACAGCCTCTTAGCTTGGCATAAAGTTAGAATCCTTAACCAGTAAATTAGCTCAATAAGCTAGATCCTAAACCTTTTCAAACCCGTGAAAAAAGAGAGAGAGAGAGAGAGAGGAGAGAGAGAGAGAGAAGAGAGAGAAGAGAGAGATAGAGATGAGAGAGAGTGAGAGTGAGAGTGATAGTGAGAGTGATAGTGAGAGTGAGAGATCGAGAGAGCGAGAGAGCGAGAGAGCGAGAGAGCGAGAGAGCGAGAGAGCGAGAGGTGAGAAAGTGAGAGTGAGAGTGATAGTGAGAGTGAGAGAGTGAGAGAGTGAGAGTGAGTGAGAAGAGAGTGAGAGACTGAGGAGAGTGCAGAAAGAGAGAGTGAGAGAAGAGAGTGGAGAGGAGAAGTGAGTAAGAGAGAAAGAGTACTTGAGAAGACAGACGCGAGTTATTTAAACAAACCAGCCAAACGCGTTATGGTTTTATAGTTCACTCCAGCAAGCCCTAGAAAAATACCTCATATTTTTAAGTTTACTTATACTACTGAGGTATATACTCAGTATTATATGTTACCATAGCAATGTTTTATTATATAATATTGAAAAAAAGATCAAATATTGAAAATTAAAAGCAAAATGTCTACATTAACATTTTATACAACATTTAAAG